TTGATTGGCACTGGTCCATGTTGGCTATTTGTCTGCAGGCAGTAGATATGTTCCAGGTTATAGCCTATAAGTTTTGCAGGGAAAATGTCTAACAAAAGCAAGTAAAAGGTTCAATCCAAAATTTCTCATCTATTATTAATTGACTCAGTTGAAATGGGGTTTTGCAGTTCTTTGCAAAACTCATTCACCCGGAAAACAGAAAGGCAAAGGATTCCTATATTTTCGCGGCAACCAAACAGGGAAGCAACCAGGAAACAATGAAGGGAAAGAAAACATAAAACCCAGGATCAAGACATCAATAAAGGGTTCCCAAAAGTGCAAGAACATATGTAGCATCTAAATGTATAACAAGCAAATCCAAGCAAAGAAATTAAGGGCTGACAAGAACTAGGAAACATAAGTTAAAAGCAACAAGAAAGTAGAGAGAAAATGTGAGTGTACGTACCTGAAAAATACGAAGAAAATTCAGCAGAAAACACAGACTTAAGAAGCAAGGAATGGGACTCGGTTACTGACTCACTGGGCTTTCTTATTTATAATTTATTTTAGGTTAAATGTCAATTTTGATCCCTCAAGTTTAAGATTTTATATAATTTTCATCCCTTAACCTCTTTTTGTACTTTTTTGATCCTTTAATTATGGAAAATACATTTTTTTAATCGTTTTTGTTAGTTAATTTGTTAAGTATATTTGAATTTGCATATTTTTAGTCCCTCAATTTTTATTATTTCTTTTATAACCAATTACTTCTTCCTTTAATTTTTTAATTAAAAATTTATTTTTCAAGCCTAAGCATGCTACAAAGACACATAGACTTCCCCAAATATTATGGTTAGGGTGGTATTAGAGGGACATCTTTTTTGTCTCTATTTTTTATATAATTTTTATCTATTATTAAATAAGTGAATGCATTTAATATCACAAGTCTCACATAAATTAAAATAACCAATCATTTTAATAACAAGTCAAGTTGTATAAAAAAAATAAAATAAAATAATTATCCTAATAGCATTTCCTTTATAGTTATCCCAAGTGAACTGAATTGGTCCACGTCAGCACCACCTCATCAGGCTTTAACGAGCAATTGAAGGGTTTAACGTTTGGATGACGTGAGCTTAACTAAAAGGGCTGTTAAGCCTGTTATGGGGATTTCATGAAGAAGAGGGGCTGATTTGCCATGATTTAAAGTGTAGGGGCTGACTTGCCACAACATTACAAGTATAGGAGTTGAATTGCACTTTCCTGCAGACATTTTTGTCGCCTAGGAATCTCTGCATATTTTTTTCTAAAAGCTGAAGCACCCCATGTGCTGAACCGCAGGCTTTAAGTTGTACAGCATTAATTCAATGAGCAGTGCTAGGAGTACGTGACAATCCTCCAGTCCGACTTACTGTATAAGTTGACTTATGGACCGTAAGAGGTAGATGCATTATCACGTGCTCTATTGATAAAATTATTTGAGGTTTTTTTTAGTAATATAAAATTATTTGAGTTAATAAAATATTATATCATTAAATATTATATCATCACTTACCCCTATTTGAATTGGTGGATATAGAAACGGAGTGGGGGGAGAGAGAGGAGGTAGACAGTTTCTTTACTTTGTTTGTGTTTTTTTATTAATGGAAAGGAAAGGAGACAGAAAGCCATAAAATTCTCTCTATTCCTCTATTTTTCATTTTTTCAAATTGAAAGGATTGGAAATGATTTGATTTATATATTTAATAATTTTTTAATATTTTTAAAAGTAAATATATAAAAATATTTTATTTTAATTATTATTTTAATTAATAATTTTAAATATTTTATTTTATTTTTTAAAAATTATTTAATTAAATAAAAATATTTTCCTTTCTTTTCATTTATCAAAACAAGATTAATATCTATTCTTTTTTTCCCTTCACTTCTCCTCCCTTCCCTTCCCTTTCCTTTACTAATTTTTATTCAAACACACTAATTTTTAGTGTGTTGATAGGATTATTTGAGTTCTTAATTACTTATTTAATATATATATATTTACATAAGTAAAAGTTTATTTATATTAAATTTTATATATTATATATATATAAAATTTTGATGATTTATTTTTTTATTTTTAATTGTTGATATTTATTATGATTTTATAAATAAAAAATAATTATTTTCAATAAATAAATTAATAAATTAATAAATCTTCACAATTAAAAAAAAAAAAAAGAATGTTTTAAAAGTTGTTCTTTTAAAAAATAATCAGATTGGATCTTAAACCCCTCCAACTGTTCTAGTATAAGTGAACAAAGAGCACGGGATGGTTTTTTGTGAAGACTGGTGGGTTTGTATATATTAGCCCATGGTTGAGTTCTTAATTGCTCTATAATGGATATAAGTACTCATTATACTGGTTATTAATAAAATTTTCTTTGTTACAGAAAAAAAAGAAAAAGAAAAAGAAAAGATGTCTTAGTATTTTACACTCAAATCTTAAATAACGTCATAAATATTTATTTTTAATTATTAATGGTTTAAATTTATTGTAATTTTTTAAATAAAAAACAATTAATTTTAAAAAACAAAAAAGTGTTTCATAAGTTATAAAAGTACAGTTTAATTTACAAATTTATTAAAATAATTTTAATAAAATTATTTATTATATTATTTTATTCATAATAATTTATAATTTCAATGCACGAACCACACATTAAAAATGTAATCCAACTTGTAAAACATGATTTTCAAAGAAGATAGGAAATTTCTTAATCTTAACTATTTATGGTGGATAGGGAAAATATAATTTCTTGCCTGTGCATTGCATGGGTGTGTGTGTGTGTTTTTTTTTTAATCTTTAATTTTGTTTATTTTTTTATCTGATAAAAGTATCAATGATGTAACAAAGAGGAAGTGAATATTTATAAAAAGATATTTGAATATCTTGCTATGTTTTATTCCCGTTATTCAATAGTAACTTGTGGTAAGGCATTAAAAGCTTTTTATTATTCAATAGTTACTTATGGGAAATCATTAAAAGTTTCGTAATAAACAAAGTTTTTTGTGTAGCCTTTATAGTCTTGTTCATCATGGCCAATGAGAATCTTTAGACCTATTGGAGATGTCATTCTAGATGTAACTACATATAATTGGCCATGGTTAAAAACATGATTTGGTAGATATATGCCAACATGTTTTAAGGACTGCCCTTGACTCTTATTAATTGTCATTGCATAGCACGACCTTAAAGGAAATTGTCTTCACTTTAGTATGAATGGACACTTCGATTGCTGTGAAGTCATTGTAATTCTTGGTATTAAAACCTTCTCACCAATCTTGTTTCCTGTTATGATCTTACCTTCAATGACCCATTTTCCCAACTGCATGATTTTTATTCTTGTGCCATTTCACAGTCCTAAACTTAGGTTGACATTTCTCAATAACATAGCTGGCATTCCTTTATTTAACTTTAGGCAATGATTTGACATTCTTGGAAATGTTAGTGTGTTTAAGAATTCTGTTGCGTACATCATGTACTAATCGACTGTATCAGAGGCCTTACAAATCTCATCTGAACTCTTATAAGTTTTGGTTTCTGCTTCAAACAAAAAGAACATGTAATTAAAAAAAAAAATGAAATAATGTATAAATAATGTAATTGGAAAAAATTGAAACAACTATCAAATATCTAGTATCAAATGTAATATACCTTTTTGAAATTGTTCATCGACTCAAATTCCTTCATCAAAAGTTTGCATGGAGAATGGAGGAGGAGTGATCTTAAATAAGAATCATGTAAATGTATCTCTTAAATTAAATTAAAATAGTACTATAGGATAGGTTAGGAATAGTGGGTCTTTATTTTTAATCATCATCATTACTATGGTATTAAATTATATTTGTGGTGATATATGTTTTTTTATTTTTCAATAAATTCTAATTAAAACTTTTTAAAAAACACAAGAGAAAACTCCCGGGCAACAAAAAATAGTCTAAAATAGTTTATGCAAATTCATTGGCAAAAAATAGTATAAAATTCAACTTCTAATATAAAATTTAAAAGTACAATTTAACTTATAAATTTATTAAAATATTTTTAATAAAATTATTTACTATTTTATTTTATTCATAATAATTTAGTAATTTCAGTACACGAATCACACATTAAAAATGTAATCCAACTTGTAAAACATGATTTTCAAAGAAGATAAGAAATGTCTTAATCTTAACTATTTAATTATGGTTAATAGGGAAAATATAAACAACTAAGATTTTATACCTAAGAGTTATCTGTAAGACTTTTATTAATCTCCCTTCAAAATTATTAACTGTAATTAACCTTAATTATTTAAAATAAAAAAATAACAATTAAGATTTTGTGTAAAAATTATCTATAAAATTTATGTGTGCATTGATCTCCACTCAAAATTCTTAGCCGTAATTAATTGAATCTTTCTTTTCCAACGCTTTTCTGGACAGATTTTGTAGTCCTCTTCGGTTTAAAATCATCATTCTTGCTAGTTTAATTTAGAGTTTGTGATTTTAGAGTTTCGATTACATTATATTACAAAATTTTAATCATTAGATATGAGAGTTTATCTCAATCCAGTAGTTATTGTTATGTAATCTTGAATAATGAAATTATCATTTCAATAGTTATTATTGTGTAATCTTAAATAATGAAATTATCATTAACCCGTTATATATATATATATATACATACATGGCATCATTATGTACCTGCAATATAAATGTGTTTATATTATGTAGATGGTTTAATTGGAGTTTCTTGAACCTTCGGTTTTAGGGTATGGGGATTATTGCTTTTACTGCTGCTATATCGGCATTAAGACCTCCAAACTTGCATCGACAAAGGAAATTGCATAGGTCATAAGGAATGGCAATTGGGCATCCTTTTTGTTGGGTTAGGATTTCTGGCAATCGGAGCTGGTGGCATTAGACCCTGCAACATTGCCTTTGGGGCAGACCAATTTGACACCACAACTAAAAGGGGAAGAAGACAATTAGATAGTTTTTTCAATTGGTGGTACTTTTCAATTATAGTAATTATTAGAGAGTACTAAGTCGACTAAATTCTTGTTAATGTTTTAACAGGTTTGATCGAAGCGTTTGATGCGGTTGCATTGATGGAACTTCTTACGATAAAACCATGGTTTAAAGTACAGGTACTGACTTGCCACAATATTATAAGTACAGGGGCTGAATTGCACCTTCTGCTGACATTTTTGTTGGCTGGGAATCTCTGCATCTTTTTTTCTAAAAGCCGAAGCACCGCATGTGCTGAACTGGCAGGCTTTAAGTAGTACAGGAATAATTCAATGCGCAGTGCTGAACTGGCAGGTTTTTGGGTTTACATGCCCTACTATATATATAATATTTTTTTTGGTAATATAATAATATATAATATAATAATATAAATTTATTTATTATTTATTATATAATTATTATATACAATTTATTCATAAATAGGCTTTTCATTTTTTTCTCTCAAAAGTTATGCATTCTCAACTAAATTATGAT